GCTAAGCTAAAGGAGGCTAATGTTGGGCTATAAAGGAACTACAGCACGGTCACATGACTTCACGTCACCACCGCTAAGCTAAAGGAGGCTAATGTTGGGCTATAAAGGAACTACAGCACGGTCACATGACTTCACGTCACCACCACTAAGCTAAAGGTGGCTAATGTTGGGCTATAAAGGAACTACAGCACGGTCACATGACTTCACGTCACCACCGCTAAGCTAAAGGAGGCTAATGTTGGGCTATAAAGGAACTACAGCACGGTCACATGACTTCACGTCACCACCGCTAAGCTAAAGGAGGCTAATGTTGGGCGTGATGACTTTTAGTCGTCTCATTTAGACACTTGTTAGCAACCATCATCATTTTTGGGTTCTAGGACTCATTCCTGCACCACTCTATAGTTCAAATGAAATACACTGGCAGCTATCCTCTGTTAGTTCAACACAGTCTCACGGCATTTCGTGTTATAGTCACGAAATTAATCTATTGATTCGTGTTCACCAACACGATTTCGCCATTTTTTTCGTGTCACACAGAACGATTTTTAAAAGCAATGTAAATAATAACAAATTAGAAGGAAAAAGACATTTAAAAAAATACAGATTTCAGTATTCTGACACAGAACGATTTTAGAAGCAATGTATTTCTATTGGTAGTATGTTTCGTGCCTGCACCAAATAATAACAAATTAGAAGGAAAAAAAGATGACAACAAATACAGATGTCAGTATTCTGAGGCTCTGAGCCATTTCTTTTCCTCACTGATGGCAAAAAAACTCAGACATTATACAATTTAAAATAAAAGGGATAGGGTTAGGCTTAGGGTAAGATATTGAGTAAGAAAATGTTTTTATGAACCACACAGCTTCTGGTCTTCCAAGACCCGACCGGACAAAAAGACGTGTTGCAGGCACGAAACATACTACCAATAGAAATACATTGCTTTTAAAATCGTTCTGTGTGACACGAAAAAAAGGTGAAAATCGTGTTGGTGAACACGAATCAATAGATTAAATTAATTTCGTGACTATAACACGAAATGCCGTGAGACTGGGTTGGTTAGTTAGCTAGCTTGCAAAGTAGATAGCTTATTTTAGCTAGCTAATTTCACGGTCAGATAGATAGAGAGCAAACGTTTGCTAGCTAAGTAGCACAGTGCCAGCTTAATTGAATTAACAGAGGAGATAAAGAGAGGCTAAAATGTTCCTTCCTTATCAATTATCACCCTCACTGTAGGTCTGTAGGTTAACTTGTTTTTATAGATAACAGTTATTATACTTTATAGTAATTCAAATTACAAAATGTTGACATCTCTTCAGCTTGTGTTAACCACAGACCTTATTTCAGTCTTACTAAAAACATGTTCAAAGAACTTCGAGTCAAGGGAATGTTAAAATGCTGACTCAATTCCGATTTTACGACTCATTCCTGCACCACTCTCCTCCTTCTTATCTGTATCGACGAGTGTAATTCACCGTGTGATTTATAACGGTGAACTTCTGAGTCCAGAGGTTTTCAGCTGTGTGAGCAGAACGTCACATTTCACGAGGATCTTTAAATCTCTGCTTTCAGCTCAGTCAGTCTCACTCCTGCTGATATAGATAGATAGATAGATAGATAGATCGTACTTTATTGATCCCAAATTGGGAAATTGTTTTTGTTGCAGCAGCATAAAAGGCATTTTACAATAAAACAAAATATACAAGAATAGAAATAAAATAAAATAAAATATAAATAAAATATAAAATATACATGTCAAAATACAAAATAGAAAATATACATACAGATATTATATATATATATATATATATATATATATATATACAAATATACAAATATATATATATTCAAAATATATGGAATTATGGAGTATTAAATATGAAACAGATTATGTGTGAGTAAAATGTACAAGGTGGTTTTATTTCTAGAGAAACTATGGAGCAGAGAGTTCTCTTCCAGCCAGAGGTGATTTGTTGTACAGTGTTATTGCAGTGGGCAGGAATGTTTTCCAGTATCTGTCCTTGTGGCAGGGGAGCTGCAGCAGTCTGTTGGAGAAGGAGCTCCGTTGACTGTCCAGCTGCAGGTGGAGAGGATGGGTGGGGTTATCCATGATGGACAACAGCCTGTTCAGTGTCCTCCTCTCCACCACAGCTTCAAAGGGTTCCAGCTTGATGCCGATGACTGACCCAGCTTTCCTGATCAGTTTATTGATCCTGCAGGTGTCACCGGCTCTGATGCTGCCCCCCCAGCAGACCGCAGCAAAGAAGAGTGCACTAACCACAACAGACTGATAGAAGATCTCCAGCATCTTACTGCATACGTTGAAGGATCTCAGCTTCCTCAGAAAATAGAGTCTGCTCATCCCCTTCTTGTACACAGCGTCAGTGTTGATCCTCCAGTTCAGCCCATTGTCTAAGTGCACTCCCAGGTACTTGTAGACCTCCACAACTGCCACATCCTCTCCCAGAATGCACAGGGGCAGAGGAGGAGATGTCCTCTTCCTCCTGAAATCAATGACCATCTCTCTGGTCTTGGCCACATTCAAAAGCAGATGATTTCTTCCAGTCCACTCAACAAAATCACCCACCAGCGCTCTGTACTCCTCCTCCCGTCCATCCCTTATACACCCTACCACTGCAGAGTCATCCGAAAACTTCTGCAGGTGGCATGACTCTGAGTTGTATAGAAAGTCAGAGGTGTATAAGGTGAACAGGAAAGGAGACAGCACAGTCCCCTGTGGGGCTCCAATACTACCAACCACCACATCAGACAGCACACTGCCCAGCCGGACGTACTGTGGTCTGTCCGTGAGGTAGTTGGTAATCCAGGAGATGGTGGACGAGTTTACCCTCATAGCCTGCAGCTTGTCACTCAGTAGCCGAGGCTGGATCGTGTTGAATGCACTGGAGAAATCAAAAAAGGTGACTCTCACAGTGCAACCCGATCCATTCAGGTATGAGTGAGCACGCTGCAGCAGGTAAATAATGGCATCGTCCACCCCCAGGTGAGGCTGGTAGGCAAATTGCAGAGGGTCAAGGAATGATCTCACCTGCGGTCTGAGATGGGCCAAGACCAGTCTCTCAAGCACCTTCATCACATGAGATGTGAGTGCTACAGGGCGATAGTCATTGAGCCCAGAAGGAGTTATAGATATAGAGATATAGAGACGGTGGGTGGTGGTGTCGGTGGTATTGGTATTGGTGGTGTCGGTGGTATTGGTGGTGGAGGATGAAGTATTGCTGCTTGGCACCCCACCAGGAGAGGATGTGGAGCAGAAGCAGCATCAGATAAAACCTCCTGCAGAGCGAGAGGCAGCCATTGGTACATCTGTCCTCCCCTTTGAATCACCGCTCCCCAAATAGAAAGCTGCTGTCTCGCCACTTTATGCATCCTCGTTCTCCTGCTCACTGTTCGAGGTGTTAAATTTGGGGGTCACATTTTCCACTTGGAATCAGAATTAGGTTATTTAAAGCTTATGTATACCCGCAGGATTCATCGTGTTTGGAGGTTGTATCTTCATGGTTTATTGCACTTTTTAAATAAAATGTAGTGTTCCTTTTCAAGGAGAAAATATTCAAGATATTTTATTGTCATATGTAAAGTTTAACAGGCAGTTGCACTGTACTATATAATTCTTACGCTCAGCTAAATATTAGGAAACTATAAAAACAAACAAACATATAAGATAAAAACAAATGTGTACTTAAATATATCTTACATCTTTGAAAGTGCCAAAAGAATCTGAGATTAGTTTGCTATCAGTATCAACAATATTTATCAAGAAAAATTGCTTTTATCTATTATAATTTATCTAGTTCTCCTCCTGTCTCCTCTTCCTAAGACAGTGGTGGAAAGTACAGTTACTCAAGTATTGTACCTAAGTACTATTTTTGACATACTTCATTTTTACTATATTCTGTTCCACTGCATGTTGGAGTCAAATATTGTACTTTTTTCCTCGATTACATTTATTAAACACTCATAGTTTACTTGCTATTTTCACATTTAAAAACACATGATAGGGGTAACGGTATAATTCAATACTTTACTGCTATTCTACTCGGTATTTTAAAGAATAACTTACATTTGCTGAACATTGAGAAACTACAACATTAAAATGTGTTGTTTCTAAAAATAGAATAATATATATTTTCCACCAAGACCTTTTACTTTTAATGGAGTACTTTAAGATCCTAGTATTTCTACTTTAGCTTAAAGGGGACCTATCATGCAAAATACACTTTTGTGCGTCTTTTATACATGAATATGTGTCCCCGGTGTTCCAGGGAACTCACCAAGTGTCAGAAAACACGGACGGTGGCGCTACGGCTATTGGGCCAACTCCACCAATCAGGAGGAGACAGCCACGGCCATTGCCGTTCGAAAGCGCTGGAGACGCTGTAGTACATATGCCAGGCCAGTAGATGGTGCTGTTCTCACTGAATCTGCCCCTGCAAAAACAGAGCTAGAAATTGTCAAATTGAGCAAAATGAGGCATGGCTAAAATGCATGATCTGTTTGGTATTTTGAAAAAAAAAAAGTATAAATATGCCTTATATAGGTATGGTCCTACACTATATTATTCAAATATAGCATGATAGGTCCACTTTAAGGAGAGGATCTTCCACCACTGTCCTATGACTAGTTTGAATTTCTCTTAAATTAGAATTTTTTTAGGTAAATATTGTACTTTTTACTTACCTACAATGACTCTATCGTGGCAGTGGATCAGGTGGTAGTCACTGGTTCACAACGTGTCTTTGGGCAAGAAACTTATCCCCATATTGGTGTGTGAGTATGTGTGAATGTTACTCTCCTTGAGCAGGTGTCACCTTGTATGGCTGCCTGTGTGTGAATGCAGAATTTTATATGTAAAAGCTCTATGAGGGGTTGCAAAAAGTAGAAAAGCGGTATGTAAAGTCAGTCCATTTAACCACCTGCTCTCCCAGTTTGTCCTCACATCTCATCTCTGACTTCCTCCTGTGTTGTTCCTTCAGGGTACCACCACAGCCTCCCCTCCTCTCCCTACTCCTCGGGTCCTGAGAGTCAGAGGTTACCTTCCTCTGGGACTTTATCCTCAGAGTTCCTGAACCACGGGGTCCCAGTGAAGATCCTGCTGCTCGTGTGCAACGCTGCTGGGACGGGACAACAAGCCGTCAGGTAATCATGGAGACCAGAGAGGGTACACGTACACACATCCTTTACTCAAGTAGAAGTACAGATACTCGTGTTTAAAAATACTCTGGTGAAAGTAGAAGTACTGACTAAACTTCTTTACTCAAGTCAAAGTAAAGAGGGCTTTGAAATGTACTTCAGTAAAAAGTACCCATAACTAGCAGCTGTTTTAAAGAGTACCTGACCTCCCTTTATATTAATAGAACAATAATGTCATTGTTAGCTAATGAATGTTTCCATGCTGAACAACGGCAACATGACAACGTTTTCATTGGTCCCTCTTCTTTAGAGAAGACCAGGAAATGATGGATACACGGATCGTGTTCAAATCAATAGGCACGCAATGACTCTAAAGAATAATGATCACGCCACCAAACACACATTCAAACTAAAGGAACCAGCCTGTTTGGGAAATGTGAGAAGTAGAAAGTACAGGTATTTGTGTTCAACATGTAAGAAGTAGAAAGTACAGGTATTTGCGTTCAAAATGTAAGAAGTAGAAAGTACAGGTATTTGTGTTCAAAATGTAAGAAGTAGAAAGTACAGGTATTTGTGTTCAACATGTAAGAAGTAGAAAGTTCAGGTATTTGTGTTCAAAATGTAAGAAGTAGAAAGTACAGGTATTTCTGTTCAAAATGTAAGAAGTAGAAAGTACAGGTATTTGTGTTCAACATGTAAGAAGTAGAAAGTACAGGTATTTGTGTTCACATGTAAGAAGTAGAAAGTACAGGTATTTGTGTTCAAAATGTAAGAAGTAGAAAGTACAGGTATTTGTGTTCAAAATGTAAGAAGTAGAAAGTACAGGTATTTGTGTTCAAAATGTAAGAAGTCAAAGTAAAAAGTCGTCAGAAAAATAAGTAGTGGAGTAAAATGTACTTAAGTACAGTAACGAAGTATTTACTTTATGTATGTATGTACTTCCCACCTCTGCATCTGGCGCCGTGTGGTGGTCAGTCCAGAGGATCAATGAAAGTAACTTTGGGTAAAATCTAAATGAAATGAAGTGTTCCCTTTCGAGGAGAAAATATTCAAGATTCAAGATATTTGATTGTCTTATGTACAGCATAACAGGCAGTTGTACAATTAAATTATGTTTACGCCCAGCTCTCCACAGTCCGATCCCCTCCATGTTTCACTTTCTCCTTCAAACAACTCGCTCTCGTGGATCAAACCTCCCACTGCTCTCATCCTGTGACAGCTGGAGGACTCTGTGTCTGCCAGGAAAATGACTTTGGAGTCACTTACTGTACTTTAACTCTGCAGAAGAGCATCACAGGTACACGTCTGAAAGTGTGAAAGCTCTCAGTTTCCTTTCATTTATCAAAACTGTGAAACCAACAGATAGCAGAAGGTAGGATTTAATTAGGTTTGAAATGTAATGTGTGAAACCTAAATATCTGTTGGATTAATCTCATGGCTGTGGAGGCAGGTGAACAATTTAACATATAATATATTGATGAAAAAGAGTATAATAGGGGACCTTTAATGTCTTTCATTTTGTGTAAAGCACTTTGAATTGCCTTGTGTTGAAAGGAGCTTTATAAATAAACGTTCCTCCAGGTTTGGACCCCCGTTCCTGATGAGGGAGGATCGGTCTGTTTCCTGGGAGCAGCTGCAGCAGAGCATCCTCAGCAAACTGTATTACCTGATGATCAACGGGGCGCAGGCTCAGGTACTGAACACACACTGACTGTGGACTAATGTGAGGAATAATTAAGCTGTGGAAGGAAATCTACTTTTTTAAATTAGGTTTTTTAACCTCATGGCCGTTCCATTATGATGAAGCTCACAGCAGATTGTCCGTCGTCCAGGAGAGCTTCAAGACCTTTTACTTTGAGATGTAATTACTTTTATTACACGGCTTAGTTGAATACTCGATTCTGATTGGTCCATTCAGAACATGTGACACGTTGTTAATCCAGTAGTACAGACCGCTGTCAAGGACCATAATGACCGTTGCTAAGGAGGGTCGAGAAAGAGAAAGGAAAAGCGCTGGACGTCAGATAAATCAGATAGGCAGACAGGAAGTAAACACTTTTAATTTTTTATAGCGAAAGTTGGCATTTACCGTTTTTAGGTAGTTTAATTTTGGGTTTTATGGCATTTTCTTACTTTTATGTTTAGATTGTTTTGCAGTGGATACTTTTATGTTTAATACCTCAACTACTATATGCTGATTTTACTTTTTTAGTTTTATTAGAGTGACATTTCCAATGCAGGACTTTATTTAAATGGGGTATTATTTATAGACTATGTTATATTTCTTCTTTGCTTTCAAAATATGGCATTTACTTTTTTTAGGTAGTTTAATTGTAGGTTTTAAGATAAGATAAGATGTACTTTATTGATGCCAATTTGGGAAATTGTTGCGTTGCAGCAGCATAAAAGACAAGACATTGTACATTAATTAAAAGAGTAGAAATAAACAATTCTAAAATGTAAACATCTCAAAATATAAATAAGACAGAATTCAAAAAGAAATGAAATAGAAATGTTGAAATACCAATTTACAATAAACAAAATATATTTATGGAAGTTTCTTAAAAGTATATCAGATTTGTTTTACACACTTTTACGTCTAATGCCTCAGCTACATTATGCTGAGTTTTTATATTAAAAAGTGACTTTTCCAAGGCAGGACTTTTCCTTATAACAGAATATTTAAACAGGGTATTATGTATATACTATATTAAACGTCTTCTTTGCTTTCTGCTCGATTGCCTGCTGTCACGCTCACAGGTACAGATCAGAACCCAATAGCACGACACAGATACAACCAGTGTTCAGAAATGTTCAGTTTAATCAGATCAGGGACAGGCAGGGTCAGAACCAGGAAATCCAGCAGTAAGGCAAACAAACCCGAGAAGGGGCAGGCAGGAAACTCGAGGTCCGAATACAGGACAGGAATTTAGGCTAGAAAATATCAAACACTGGAGAGCTTGGCAGAATAGACAAGACAATCTGGCAGAGGACAAGTGAGCGTGAGGTGGTGTAAATACTGTGGAGTAAAGAGGGAATGAGTAACAGGCGAGGGGAAGGGCTGGGGAGGCCAGGTGAGGGAAAGGGCTGGGGAGACCAGGTGAGGGAAAGGGCTGGGGAGACCAGGTGAGGGAAGTGAGCTGATTGCAAGAGCCTGGAGGAAGGCGGGATCTGAAATGACAGGAGAGTTTAAGATGTGCCAAACCAAAAAAAACAACAATATATGTGTCTAACTTGTGACAGCCTGCTGTAGCATGCTGTTCCTCATGCAGCCAAACAGATTTCAGTGTGTCTGCAGCCAGATGACACACGAGAACTAATAATGAAATAATAGAAATAAAAGGAAGGCAGCAGATGACCGTCTCTCTGCATCTTCCTCAGTGCTGTTTCAGACTTTCAGGAGAGGAAGAGTGAGGCATCTTCTTCACAGTGGGGGGGGGTGTGAGTCCTCTGTGCCCCCTGCTGTCAGACGTTTAATTAAACTCGTACAGTTTGATGCGTCCTCTCAGAAAGCAGCCGTTCTCAGAGCAGATGTTGGCTCTGAATCTTTCATCTCAGCAGGATCTGTAGTTTCCTGCATCGATGCTCCACTCAAGAGAGGACGATTCCTCTTGTCTAAATTTAGCTTTGGCAAAGAGGCAATTCAGAAACAAAGAGCGGCTCTCTGACACGTTCACTCCCGGCTCTTCACATGTTCATTTAGCAGCTCTAAAGCTCACCTAGCAGTGCTCCAGTACTCATGTTATAGTCAGATAAGTATTCATGCACACCCTCTCCAGACTTTCTCAACACCTTGCAACATAATGAATCTTTGCTGTTTGAGGTCATGATCCTGGTGTCTGGGTTTGTGTATTTGATTTAGTCTTCTTCCCCTGTGTCCTGTCAGCTTTTGCTTCCTGTCTTTGTGTGTTCCCCACCCGTATTGATTGTGTGTTCTGGCCTTATTAGCTCCACCTGTTCCCCGTTAGACCTGCGACCAGCTGCTGACCCTCTCTGCGCACCTGCACCTTAACTCCTCGTTAGTTTCGCTTCTGTTGAAGTATTGGCTTTCTGTTAGTCTTTGTCGGGTCCTTGTATGTCGTGCAACGTCTGTTCTGTTCTGCTTTGTTCGCCTTGTCTGGACCTTTACATATCTGTCATCTCTTTTAAGTCTTCAAGCCTCCTGGATTTGGGTCTTTCACATTCCCCTTTATCTGCCTCCTATACTGTTGGAAAATAAACATATATATAATACACACACCATAGATTGTATATTTAGATACTTTCCAATCCCTACCTGTTGAAGAAGTTCCAATTTCATCTGGCTACTTCCACCATGCAACGCGATTATAAAGTGACCTAATGACATGCTAACCTTTGCAGTTTACGTTACACAAAACAAAAACAAAATACAGTCCTTACACTTGTACCCTTTTCTTCCTGTAAAAGTGTTAAAACAGCCTCCAAACTTAACCATTGACCGCTAACCGCTGCAGTATGTTGTCCTCTTACTGGCCCTCATGATACTGATATACTTTAAATAATACTGTATGTCCCACGTGAGACGCAGTAACTCAGAAGTATTGTGTAACTCCCCCCCTGAGACTGGAGCGTTCCTCTTGTGATCAACATATCAATATCTTCCAGGAATGAGCCGCTCCTCAGAGACCCTGCAGAGTGAGAGTTAGTGTTTGAGCCAGCAGATCCTCTCAGGACTTCACAGCAGAAAGAGAAAATCTATTTCATTTTTTTTTGCCAAGCGCTCCTTTTCTCTCCTAAAGCACCTCCAATCCACGCAGATCTCAGAGTAATAAAAGCAGGCTTCAACAGAGGACAAACGGGTATTAGCTTCATATGTGTTAGTCCTTTTTTCTCCTCAACCTGGCTTTCAGTCCAGTAGTCCGATTATCTCTGGGTTTATTAAACATTTCTTTACCAGTTGTGTGTTATACATGGAGATGCTACATGCTAATCTGCTGTTAACTGTTAGGTGCAGGTTGTGGTCTATATCTCATGATGACCCACTTTCCTCTCTTTGTGTCGCTTGAGCAGCAGACGTTAAATAAAGTTGACCCCTTTGTGTCTTCTGATAAAAGGAGACGCTTTAAGTGCTATAGGACCTGCCAGGTTGCATGATGGGAAGTAAGAGGTGGTTGTAAATCTCGAGATAGAAAGCCAGACAAACCTGATTTAATCTAAAAAAACTGCACGTTCATTGCTTGAATCAGAAGGGACTCGTCAGTACTTCATAAATCATATGAAACCTCACCGAGCCAGTCTTCTTTTATTCACTTTCAGCCCATTGTAGGATCTGAAGTCTCTGAGCAGCTCGATCAGGAGACATGCTGCTGCTCCTTTAAGACCTGACGTTTGGGTTCTAGTTCTGCCTGTTTTACTGAATCCATGAGGACACTTACATTTAGCTGGTGCTTTATCTAACGCAATGTACTGTAAAGTAAAAGTAGAAGTACTCAGATCCTGTACTTGAGTAAAAGTAGAAGTACCCAGATCGTGTACTTGAGTAAAAGTAGAAGTACTTAGATCTTGTACTTGAGTAAAAGTAGAAGTACTTAGATCTTGTACTTGAGTAAAAGTAGAAGTACTCAGATCTTGTACTTGAGTAAAAGTAGAAGTACTCAGATCCTGTACTTGAGTAAAAGTAGAAGTACTTAGATCTTGTACTTGAGTAAAAGTAGAAGTACTCAGATCTTGTACTTGAGTAAAAGTAGAAGTACCCAGATCTTGTACTTGAGTAAAAGTAAAAGTACTCAGATCGTGTACTTGAGTAAAAGTAGAAGTACTCAGATCGTGTACTTGAGTAAAAGTAGAAGTACTTAGATCTTGTACTTGAGTAAAAGTAGAAGTACTCAGATCTTGTACTTGAGTAAAAGTAGAAGTACTCAGATCTTGTACTTGAGTAAAAGTAAAAGTACTCAGATCGTGTACTTGAGTAAAAGTAGAAGTACCCAGATCTTGTACTTGAGTAAAAGTAAAAGTACTCAGATTGTGTACTTGAGTAAAAGTCAAAGTACTCAGATCGTGTACTTGAGTAAAAGTCAAAGTACTCAGATCGTGTACTTGAGTAAAAGTAGAAGTACTCAGATCTTGTACTTGAGTAAAAGTAGAAGTACTCAGATCTTGTACTTGAGTAAAAGTAGAAGTACTCAGATCCTGTACTTGAGTAAAAGTAGAAGTACCCAGATTTTGCACTTGAGTAAAAGTAGAAGTACTCAGATCTTGTACTTGAGTAAAAGTAAAAGTACTCAGATCGTGTACTTGAGTAAAAGTAGAAGTACTCAGATCTTGTACTTGAGTAAAAAACTCTTAAAGTGGTGGGTTTAATGTCCAAGGTACAGTCCAAACAGTTGGGTTTCCAGTGTTCATTGAAGAAGATTAGACGCTCCACTGTCCTGACATCAGCTCGTTCCACCATGTTGGAGCCAGGAGAGTGAACAGGTGTGTTTGTGTTGAGCGTACCTGGGTTACAGTAGTGGCTCATTGGAGGGTAATTACTGGGTTATTATGAAAGCATTAATGTCCCCTGATGTCTTCACAGAAGTGTCTTTGTCTTCCAGAACATCAGAGTGATGTTCAACGTCCGTGTGGTGGGAGGGTCGGTGTTTCACAGCTACCTGTCCCCTCAAGACGGACGGCCGCTGCACCACCCTGCTGTGGACAGGTGAGACAAAACACACCTGAGACACACATCTCTCTGTTGAAGCATAATGCAGGTACAGGTTTGAGTTTGTATTCAGACAAACGACCTGTAAGGACAAAGCAAGTCACCAAGGTTTCAGAGCCTGATCATAAAAGGGAGCAGCCATTAACACAATAAGAGATCCTGTATCCTTTCATGCAAATTGGTTAGAAAAGTAAAAGTGTTTAAAAGCTAATAATTCTGAATATTTACAGAAGTGTCAGATACATTTAGAGGAGAACAAAGTACAATGCTGACTTCTGACATGTAGGTTGCAGTCGAATTGTCAGACCTTCCTAACGGAGTGAAATGACCCGGAAGTCCCTCAGTGGCAGCCATGATAAGAGCCGTTCCAATTCTCTAGATGATAGGAAAGGAGGTTTCAAACTTCCTTCATAACCTCCTTTAGCTTAGGAACCACTGGACCTCCCTTTAGGAAAGGAGAGGAGAAAATGCTGCCCCACAATGCCTTGCGGCCGCAGCATTTACCGTCACACGACATTCGGCCGTTCACGGAAACAACCGATCGTGACCGAGAAATGTGTATCGATAAAAGTTACGGTGCTTATTAAGCATTTTAAAACGTATGTGGTAAGTTGCCAAAGTGCTTTGTTTTGAACGTTCATCAGTATTATAATCAAAAAGAGAAATATGAACATTACATTTTTACTGAAATGATCAAATAAAGTCAACATTTCATAGTGTTTACTGAGCTGTGTGGGGGTTGTTCAACTTTTTAAAACATGTTTGTTGTGACGTTTCACACAGAGGTCAAGGACTAGTTGATAGGAAAAGACGATAGGAGATGATTTGTGCACAATTCAACAGCAACCGTAGAGGAGTAGAAGTATGAAGTAGCATACTGTGAAAATACTCAGGTCAAATAAAAGTACCTCAACATTTAACCAGGTTAGATATATTCCTGTGAGCATCAGAGTTTTCTGTGCAGCTGAATGTCTGTCTGCACACTTTATACGTCTGTTATTAGACGGGAGGAACTATTAGATTATTCTAAATCTGTTCTTTTGTTTGCAGTCATGGAGCAACAGTCCAAACGTTCAGCACTGAACCCGATGTTCCCTCAGGCTCATTGAGATGTTATCTCATGTGATCAATTCAAATGCAATTTAGATCTGCTCTTATCTGATAAAGTGTGTCTTGTGCTGTAGCTCCAGGTTAACGTTGTAACGTCCTGAGTATTTAACTGATTGCCACGGACTCTACAGAAGTTCTGGATAAAGGGGTTATATTTGTTTTATGTATATCATTAGATACGATTTTACAGCATTGACTGAAATGTGTAGACATTTCATATATCTTTACAAATCTTTACACTGACAGAGGTGGAAAGTACTCAGATCTTGTACTTGAGTAAAAGTAGAAGTACTCAGATCGTGTACTTGAGTAAAAGTAGAAGTACTCAGATCTTGTACTTGAGTAAAAGTAGAAGTACTCAGATCGTGTACTTGAGTAAAAGTAGAAGTACTCAGATCGTGTACTTGAGTAAAAGTAGAAGAACTCAGATCTTGTACTTGAGTAAAAGTAGAAGTACTCAGATCTTGTACTTGAGTAAAAGTAGAAGTACTCAGATCTTGTACTTGAGTAAAAGTAGAAGTACTCAGGTCTTGTACTTGAGTAAAAGTAGAAGTACTCAGATCTTGTACTTGAGTAAAAGTAGAAGTACTCAGATATTGTACTTGAGTAAAAGTAGAAGTACTCAGATCTTGAACTTGAGTAAAAGTAGAAGTACTCAGATCTTGTACTTAAGTAAAAGTAGAAGTACTCAGATCTTGAACTTGAGTAAAAGTAGAAGTACTCAGATCTTGTACTTGAGTAAAAGTAGAAGTACTCAGATCTTGTACTTGAGTAAAAGTAGAAGTACCAGAGTGTAGGAATACTCTGTTACAGTAAAAGTCCTGCATTCAAAATGTTCCTCAAGTAAAAGTAGAAAAGTATTATCATCAAAATATAGTTAAAGTACATTTGTTCTGATAAAAACTGAAAATCCAAGAAGAATCAGATATTCTCTCAGCTGTGAACTTTGTTTGTTTTGACTGTTTTCACAATAACAAAGTCTTTAGTGTACCTTTATGTAATATGTTAGCCTATAATACATTTGTTTACCTGAAATATCCACAGCTAAATCCCCTAAACACTCCTACACACACACACACACACACACACACACACACACACACACACACACACACCACACACACACACACACACACACACACACACACACACACACACACACACACACACACACACACACACACACACACACACACTTTCCCTCACACACATCACTCAATCCTGCTGTATTATAAACTGTGGTAATGCTGACACCTAGTGGTTCTCCTTCCTCTGCACTGGATGATATTTAACCTTTTTAATATATATATATATATTAGAGTTCTGAAGCTCTGCGGCTCAGGAGGACCTCCTCATGTGAAGCTGATCATCGAGTGGGAGCACCGGATCAAAGACTGGTCAGTAACACTTCATATCTTCATAGTAATAATAAAAATAAAACATGTTATTTATATAGCGCTTTTCCTGGTGCTCAAATCGCTTACATCTTATGAACCCAACATAAACCCTGTGTGTGTGTGTGTGTGTGTGTGTGTGTGTGTGTGTGTGTGTGTCTGTCTGTCTGTCTGTCTGTCTGTCTGTCTGTCTGTCTGTCTGTCTGTCTGTCTGTCTGTCTGTCTGTCTGTCTGTCTGTCTGTGTGTGTGTGTGTGTGTGTGTGTGTGTGTGTGTGTGTCTGTGTGTCTGTCTGTCTGTCTGTCTGTCTGTCTGTCTGTGTGTCTGTGTGTGTGTGTGTGTGTGTGTGTGTGTGTGTATGTGTGTGTGTGTGCGCGTGTGCAGTGTGTTTGGGAACATCCAGGAGGAGGTGGTGCAGCAGTCAGAGAGTGGGAGGAGTCAGCAGAATGTCCATCAGTTCAGCTGCAGCCTGGACGAGTGTTTCCAGCTGTACACCAAGGAGGAGCAGGTGAGTTTGTTACCTGAACCCACTTGTTAACTGTTAACAGGTCGCACACACACACACATAACAGCTGTGCGTCCCACCACCATGAGCCTCCTGAAGCCACAGGTTCAACCTTTCTGCATGTTATGACATCTAGCCCCTGGACTCCTTGGGGCTTCAAAGGAACAAAGAGTATTTGATCATTACGATATTTCAAAGGGACTTTTGAAGGCGTTGTTTGAAGTGGGGTTGTATGACGTACTTATCAATCAGTCAGTGTATTACTACCTACAATAGACGTTTGTGTCTAAATGTTCCCGGTTTGAAGTTCACTAACACATCAAAATGACCCAAAAACATGCTGATTATCATTTTATTTCTTGAATTCTTTTTTATTTTAAGTGGACCTATCATGCTATATTTGAATAATATAGTGTAGGACCATACCTATATAAGGCATATTTATACTTTTTTTTTTTCAAAATACCAAACAGATCATGCATTTTAGCCATGCCTCATTTTGCTCAATTTGAAAAATGTTAGCTCTGTTTTAGCAAGGGCAGATTCTGTGAGAACAGCACCATCTAGAGGCCTGGCATATGTACTACAGCGTCTCCAGCGCTTTCGAACGGCAATGGCCGTGGCTGTCTCCTCCTGATTGGTGGAGTTGGCCCAATAGCCGTAGTGCCACCGTCCTGACGTCAGGACAGTGTTCAAATCTGGATCAGTTTTGATCAGATCCGTTGCAGCCCCTTTTTTAGAGATTTGGGTATGGAGGAAAATTGAGAGGGTTGTGTTTTCTGACACTTGGTGAGTTCCCTGGAACACCGGGGACACATATTCATGTATAAAAGACGTACAAAAGTGCGTTTTGCATGATAGGTCCCCTTTAACTTTTTCTGTTTTTTTCTCCATTTTATTTTGTTTACTTAACTTTTTTAATTTATAAAAATGTCTTCGTTTTTTAATATATTTTTTTTATTGCGCATTATTCCTTTAACTGCTTATGTTTTATACACATTTTCTGCTTTATTTGATCTTTTATTCAACATTGTACGTCAGCTGTACCTCATTGACTTGTTGTTTCCTTGTGTCTCCACTGTGTGGCGCTGCAGGCTCACACATGTCACTCCTGAAGGGTCTATAATCAGACAGGACTCACCAATCAGGCTCTAAATGGGCCGACTAATCAATATGTTACACTTAATGATCACAACATGCACTCTTTATTTGCCCATATTAATTGATGCTAAATTGTTTTGGGAGTTTAAGAATCCTTTTTTTTATTTTGGTAGATGAGAGTCTTGTTAAAATATGTTTCTATGTATCTAAGCTTACAAATATGAAAAGATAACATCATAACTACTGCATATCTTCTCCTTTTTCTTCTAAGATGAGGTCTCTGCCCTCTCTCTCACACACACACTGACACACAAATAACAACGACACACACACAATTAGCTGGAACCCATTCTCAAAGCACTCACTGAGAACACAGCGTACATTATGAGATTCTATTAAGGTTGTTTGCAAAGGACAGGAAAACCTCTTCAGTGCTACATTTAGTCTTTAACACATTTCTTCTCACATTTTTCAAAAGCATTCACACCCTTTCTAACGAAAACAACATTTGTCGCCCAATTCTACCGTGAACTAAATGACCCAAAGTTACACAGCAGATATCGTTACCATATGTTTCATTATTGTTTGTAATTTAGGCATTTAGCATTATCTTAAACTCATAAGACTAAAATAACAGGACCTTTTTGCTAACCCTCCATTTGATACAGAAATGATAACAAAATAAATGCCTTAAACTTTCTATGAAGATCAACTTTTATTAATTACAGCTCTGGAAAACATGAAGACACCACTTCTTAAAGGGGACCTATCATGCAAAATGCACTTTAGTACGTCTTTTATACATGAATATGTGTCCCCGGTGTTCCAGGGAACTCACCAAGTGTCAGAAAACACAACCCTCTCTATTTTCCTCCATACCCAAATCTCTAAAAAAGGGGCTGCAACGGATCTGATAAAAACTGATCCAGATTTGAACACTGTCCTGACGTCAGGACGGTGGCGCTACGGCTATTGGGCCAACTCCACCAATCAGGAGGAGACAGCCACGGCCATTGCCGTTCGAAAGCGCTGGAGACGCTGTAGTACATATGCCAGGCCTGTAGGTGGTGCTGTTCTCACAGAATCTGCCCCTGCACAAACAGATCTAAAAAATGTCAAATTGAGCGAAATGAGGCATGGCTAAAATGCATGATCTGTTTGCTATTTTGAAAAAAAAAAAGTCTAAATATGCCTTATATAGGTATGGTCCTACACTATATTATTCAAATATAGCATGATAGGTCCACTTTAAATCACAGGGTGTTTCTCAATGTCGAGGAAGGCTGCTCCAGGGTTCAAGGTTCAAGGTTCTTTATTGTCAATCTGACATAGCTACAGAGTAATTATGCAGTTGAAAATCTTATGTCACAGGCTTCTCCAACAATGCAACATAATAACATAACATAATAACAATAAGAGCAAGAGCAATACAAAAATAATAATAGTTATAAAAATGAAATAAAGTTATGATGTGGAATAGTGCAGTATGAGTCTATATACAAGTTATTGGAATGATATATATATATTAGGTATTAGATACATACTACTGAGTAGCAGATGAATGTTTGATGTTGTTTCAACAGTTCAATTTTTTAACAGTCTCACTGCCCGCGGGAAGAAACTGTCTCCGAATCTTCTTGTCCTTGCCAGGATGCTGCGGTAACGTCTGCCAGACGGCAACAGAAAGAACAGTTTGTGGCTGGGGTGATGGGGTGATCCAGTGCATTAATTAATTAATACGTACAATATTACATTTATTTTGCAATAAACCTGATGAAAACTCTAAAGTCTGCATCTAGCGTTCATTGCATCTGATCATTTTGCACCTGCTTCAAAAAGCATTCGACCTTCATGAGAAGAACGGAGGATAAGGAGTGAAACCACTTTGAGTCAGAGCGATGAAACATCCATTACAATTACTAAATGTTCCCGAGATAATAAAGCGCTCGGTGTTGTCAATAACGAGGCTACGCTTTTTACATTTCTTATTCCTTTATGCGCTTTAGTTTGAGGTCATGTTGGATTGTGTTAGGCTTCACAATACTTAGTGAAGGTGTGCAAAGAAGAGTGGGAATGAGTTCGAGTGAAAAAGCATTGAATGGATTTTCTGACGGAGCAAAACACAGTCTCTGCCGCATTGGCCTTGGTTGTGTTTTGTTGGAAGAAGTGAAGACAATCGAGACGAATGCATTTCCAACAACAGCAGGAGTGTTTTGTTCAGTGCGTCCACTGATTACTGCATATTGTTCAAAGTCTCACAAGGAGGAGAAGGAGAAGCCATGGCAACAGATTCAAAATGTACTTCCTGTTTAAACTGGAGCTCATAAGGACTTTGAATTTCCAAACTTCATGCATCAATTAATTTCCCCTTCGTAGATTAATACAAGTTCATGGTTTCAGACAGAGGGTGAAAAGAGGTGCTGCAGCACAGGCAGTATGAGAAAAATAAAGAGCTTTTTGAACATTAAAGCATGGAGACATGTCACAGTAGAGACACTACATACTGATATACACCTGAACATCAGCAGGAGAGGACTCTTTAAAGTAGAGACACTACATACTGATATACACCTGAACATCAGCAGGAGAGGACTCTTTAAAGTAGAGACACTACATACTGATATACACCTGAACATCAGCAGGAGAGGACTCTTTAAAGTAGAGACACTACATACTGATATATACCTGAACATCAGCAGGAGAGGACTCTTTAAAGTAGAGACACTACATACTGATATACACCTGAACATCAGCAGGAGAGGACTCTTTAAAGTAGAGACACTACATACTGATATATACCTGAACATCAGCAGGAGAGGACTCTTTAAAGTAGAGACACTACATACTGATATACACCTGAACATCAGCAAGAGAGGACTCTTTAAAGTAGAGACACTACATACTGATATATACCTGGACATCAGCAGGAGAGGACTCTTTAAAGTAGAGACACTACATACTGATATACACCTGAACATCAGCAGGAGAGGACTCTTTAAAGTAGAGACACTACATACTGATATACACCTGAACATCAGCAGGAGAGGACTCTTTAAAGTAGAGACACTGCATACTGATATACACCTGAACATCAGCAGGAGAGGACTCTTTAAAGTAGAGACACTACATACTGATATACACCTGAACATCAGCAGGAGAGGACTCTTTAAAGTAGAGACACTACATACTGATATACACCTGAACATCAGCAGGAGAGGACTCTTTAAAGTAGAGACACTACATACTGATATATACCTGGACATCAGCAGGAGAGGACTCTTTAAAGTAGAGACACTACATACTGATATACACCTGAACATCAGTAGGAGAGGACTCTTTAAAGTAGAGACACTACATACTGATATACACCTGAACATCAGCAGGAGAGGACTCTTTAAAGTAGAGACACTGCATACTGATATACACCTGAACATCAGCAGGAGAGGACTCTTTAAAGTAGAGACACTACATACTGATATACACCTGAACATCAGCAGGAGAGGACTCTTTAAAGTAGAGACACTACATACTGATATACACCTGAACATCAGCAGGAGAGGACTCTTTAAAGTAGAGACACTACATACTGATATACACCTGAACATCAGCAGGAGAGGACTCTTTAAAGTAGAGACACTACATACTGATATACACCTGAACATCAGCAGGAGAGGACTCTTTAAAGTAGAGACACTACGTACTGATATACACCTGAACATCAGCAGGAGAGGACTCTTTAAAGTAGAGACACTACATACTGATATACACCTGAACATCAGCAGGAGAGGACTCTTTAAAGGCTTACTTTTACGGTTTTATCTGGAGTTGAATCAGTATTTGAATATGTATTTATGTTCTCATTCTCTTTCCTCCACCCTCCAGTTGGCCCCCGATGACGCCTGGAAGTGTCCCCACTGTCAGCAGCTGCAGCAGGGCACGGTGAAGATGAATCTGTGGACGCTGCCGGACATCCTCATCCTCCACCTGAAGCGCTTCAGACAGGTGGGCGACCGGAGGAACAAACTCACCACCTTCGTGCAATTCCCCCTGACCGGCCTGGACATGACCCCACACATGGTGACCCGAAACCACAACAACCCCCACCAGTCAAACCCAAACCACCAGTCAAACACAAACCACCAGTCAAACCCAAACCACCAGTCAAACACAAACCACCAGTCAAGCACAAACCACCAGTCGAACCAGCACCAGCAGCAGGGGTTGAAACCGTCCCGCCGATCTGACCCGACTCCACCTGACTTCCTGTACGATCTGTACGCCGTGTGCAACCACCACGGAGGAATGCACGGCGGACACTACACAGGTAAGAAATACTCACTTTATGATTTTTTAAAGCTGTACCAAAAGCCAGGAAGTCAGCATCTCCCTGGTTCCCTCCACAAAAAGCCAATGGGATTTTCTCAATGTGATTTTGGATTATAGCAGAAGATAGTCTCTGTATCAAACAAACGTTTATGATGCTTACACGTTTAGTTCAGCAGGATAATCTCCACATATTAACACCACTTTATGATTTCTGAAGTAAAAAGCTAACGTTAGGCTTTAAAGGAACTACAGCACGGTCACATGACTTCACGTAACCACCGCTAAGCTAAAGGAGGCTAATGTTGGGCTATGAAGCAACTACAGCACGGTCACATGACTTCACGTCACCACCGCTAAGCTAAAGGTGGCTAATGTTGGGCTATAAAGGAACTACAGCACGGTCACATGACTTTAAGTCACCACCACTAAGCTAAAGGTGGCTAATGTTGGGCTATAAAGGAACTACAGCACGGTCACATGACTTCACGTCACCACCGCTAAGCTATAGGCGGCTAATGTTGGGCTATAAAAGAACTACAGCACGGTCACATGACTTCACGTCACCACCGCTAAGCTAAAAGAGGCTAACGTTGGGCTATAAAGGAACTACAGCACGGTCACATGACTTCACGTCACCACCGCTAAGCTAAAGGAGGCTAATGTTGGGCTATAAAGGAACTACAGCACGGTCACATGACTTCACGTCACCACCGCTAAGCTAAAGGTGGCTAATGTTGGGCTAATGACGTTTGGTCGTTTTTTTTCAACAGGAAGTGGCAAACTGCTGACTCATTTCCTAGTTGTATGACTCATTCCTGCACCACTCTTGATTTAGATTAGAGTTGAATCCAACTTTTTTTTACATTACGATTCTCGAGCAATGAAAATTTATAAAACATAAAACTGCTGCACCAATTAATCTACAGAGACTACCAAGGCTGCAACATTATTAAAGTTTTATCGAATCTCTAAAAAAGCATTAGTGAAACTTTGAAATCACAGGAAGCACAAGCTTAAGCTGTCTTTGGCTCTTTTCTGCTGTAACAATGTGCATTTCCCCTCTGTGGGACTCTGATTCTGATTCTTTTGCTCTCTCTGCAGTAACATAATAACACTTCCTCCACCTCTGTTGATTACTCCTCCTCTGTCCTCCACTCTCACACGTTGGTCATTTCTCTCCTTTGTGGTGGTGATTGCAGCTTTCTGCAGGAACTCAGTGGACGGCCAGTGGTACAGTTATGATGACAGCAGTGCGGAGGCGGTGCCGGAGGCGGAGGTCTGCACACGTGGAGCCTACATCCTCTTCTACCAGAGGAGACACACCATCCCCTCGTGGTCCGCCAGCTCCTCCGTCACCGGTCAGTGCTGTGCTGGAAATGATTGAAATGAACTAGTCAAAGAGATGTCTTTCTGGTTCTTTAATCTTAAACACCTGAACTTTTGAAAGAACATCCATAACACTCATCTGTTTGCAACTCATCAATATTCCAATTACTTGTATATAAACTATTCTGCACTATTTCTACTACATTCTATTTTATTTTATTTACTTGCACTATTTTATCTGTTTTATTGTGTTGCTCTGTTGGAGGAGCCTGTGACCTCAGATTTTCATTGACATATCTACACTGTAGCTATGAACAAATGACAATAAAAGCCTTGAAACTGTAATCTTTGCAAAAGAGGCAAACAACATACTGTAGAGCAATGTCTCCACAGCCGAGTGCAATACTCAAACTGAAGAGAGAGCTTTTATACAGTTACAATAGGCGCTTTCACACCAAGTACTTTGCCGTACTTAGTTCATCTTAGCCTTCCGAGTAAATCGCCAGAACGCCGACACCTCCTCATCTCCACCGCTCCCAGTTTTTATTTTGTGTTGCCATAAGTTAGTCTCTCTCCGTTGGTGCGCTGGGCTAATGCTAATGCTAATAATGCTAATGCCAGGATAATAAAATGGCGGCTTCACAAAACTTTTTGGGAGTTTTACGGGGCGTGGTTTGCAATCCGCCCAGCCAATCAGACATAGGAACCTTTTTCTCCCATGAAAGTCCCTGCTCTCTAGCAGGGACTGAAAAGGGGGTAAAAAGGTTCTCATGAACTAAGTTCTAGTTACGGATTTGAACGCACATTTTCTGAACTATACTGGGAAAAGTACTCTGGTGTGAAAGCGCCTATTGTCTGTGTGATCTCGAATAGATGTTCAAGCCATTACATGAAGGTGATAAAGATGTTTCCAGCAGCTTCTCCATTAACAGGATTCACAGGAGCATTTATATTCATGTTTTCAGCACACTCTTCGCAGATGGTGGGAATACTGATGACACGTATTCCTGCACACAGATGCTTTTTGGTTACTGAATAAACCTTATTTTTTTCTGCAGGTTCCACCAGTTCCTCCACGTCTGACCACTGGTTGGTTCGGCTGGCGGAGGGGGGCAGTAAACGGGGCAGTGTTGGGTCAGGAGGACCCCCCCCTGGAGCTCAGGAGACCAAACAGGCCCCAGCGTCTCCGGAGCTACCAGTGTTTCGAGAAGAACCGCCCAAAACAGAGGAAAAAAGTAAGAATCTGGAGTAGTAGTGGGTATAGATCACACACCATTTTATACGACGATACGATAATACTTTAACGGTCAGATCAAGTCTGAAATGTGACTTGCATCACAGCAGCTCCATGTGTAACATCAACAGACACATATCAGACACAACACATGAAAAACAAACATTTAACATAACAGCACGATCACTGAGAGAAAGCATGTTCAATGACCCTTTATCTTGAAGACCCCATAGTACCCCATACTATATGTTATAAGGCTTTACCTTTATTATATCATATTGTTGAACCATATAACAAAGGTATATCCTTCCTAGATTATTGAGTTATTAGTGGTTTCTAGATAAGTCAACATAAGTTCAATCGTAGCCTTTCTTCTCTGATAAAGCTTATAGTTAGGGAGCATGCTTACCGTGGATCAGATCCTTGGTATTCTTTTATAATCTAAAGATGTTCCTCTCTTCTCAAGCTTATAGGTAGGGCTGGAGCGTGCTTATCGTGAGTTTCCGTTTTGGATGCATAGCACATTTGCTTATTTTAGTAAACAAAGAAATTAGGATTTGAACAGGATTGTATCGGGAATCTATAACATCCGATGTTTTGGCAGCAGTTCACACCAATTGAATGAATAACTGCATCGATATATATGTAATGGCAATGTTCATGTTCCAATGTCCTATATCCTTTGCCATTACTTCACAGGAGGGTTTAGAGCAGGGGTGTCAAACTCAAGGCCCGGGGGCCAAATCCGGCCCGCGACTTCATTTCATGCGGCCCCACAAGAGCTTGCAATGAATATAATATGTTTATTATACGGTTACATGCCGCTTTACAGAAGCACATTGCTCATAAACTACATGTCCCACAATGCATCTCAAATTTGACTTTTTTCTCTGAATTTGACTTTTTTTTTCAAAATGTCACTTATTTCTTTTTAGTTTTTCCAGAATTTGGCTTTTCTTTTTAAATCATTTTGTGATATGCGCACTGAAGAGACTTGCAATTGTTTGCCCTAAACTTCTGCTTTCAGACCGAGTTAATTATGAAGTTATTACCCTATCCGATAACAATCCAATGGAGAGGCAATAATGTAATATAATACATTATTTAATATATATTAAATATTAATATATTTATTTTTATATAGTCTTATATATAAAACCGGCCCTTTGAGTGCAACCATGATGCTAATGTGGCCCGAGTTGAAATGTAGTTTGACCCCCCTGGTTTAGAGTGATCCGGACACAAACAGATGATTTCCGGTCTTTTGCTGCTAATGATGTTTATTTAGCTTTACATACCAAGGTTTAATTATACTGTGTCAAAGGTTGTGGTATGAGCATCTGCCGGGCTGGTGGAATCGGTGTGCTCTTCCTCCTGTGTCCTCGTCCTTTCCTGTCACCTATGACCCCTTTTATACACCCGGTGCAGCTGAACCCCGCCACCAAGTGTTCAAAATAGTATTGCACTATACATATAAATAAAGTAAACTGAGACACCAACAACACCCATAAAATGGCTCCTACAATATATATATAAAGCTTATAGTTAGGGCTGGAGCAAGCTTTCCTTGAACCAGCCCTAAGTTATGCTGCTTTGGGATTTAAAATCTACTTTTTGATAAAGCTTATAGTTAGAGCTGGCTCTGGCTTACATTGAACCGACTCCTTTGGACCGTCCACACAGCAGCGTTAAAAAAATCTTGGAGATGGGCGTATCTGAAGCTTGGGGATTTTTTGCGAGCAAGGCACCAACAACCAATCACATTAATCTCCCGCCCCCGACATACAAAGCAAAAAAGCCCGAAGTAAACTGGATCTAAACTCCCCAAACAGGCGAAAACCTACCACTGTCTCTGCCACCTCCCTCCATGCCTGGCTCCTCCGGTTTGTATCCCGGTAGGTAAATAGGGACTGGTCATAAAGCACCGGGTGATTCCCTACCGCTAATTTCTCCTCCATTTTTTGGAATATGAGGAAATGACCTGCGGTATGTCTCTCCCAGCATACACGCCGTTTGATTGGCTAGCGCTTGAACTGTCAGATTTGCATACACAGGATTTGATTGGCTGACGCTTCCACCTCAGCTTCAAAAGTTGAACATTGCTCAACTTTGAATCCTGAAAATCCTGAAAATCTCCGCTCTGCTTCCCACAATGCAGTTCGGCGCAAAGTGACGTCACCCCATTCAAAGTGAATGGGCAGAAGCGTTCCAAGATTTTTTTAACGCTGCTGTGTGGACGGTCCGTAGACTTTCCTGTTTGATTAAAGATTATATTAAAGGCTGGCTTTGGTTCAAGACTTTTTTAGGACCTCTGTACACAATGTAAAGCCCCCTTAGACAAATGTATAGTTTGTGATATTGGGCTTTATAACAAATATGTGACTTCATTTGATTATTATAATAATAATAGTAATACACTTTATTAATATAGCACCTTTCATGCTTGACGCAGCCCAAAGTGCTTTATGGCAGAAAATGACAAATGAGGAACATAATTCAAATCAAGGTATAAACAAACAGAAAGAGTTATATCACTGAACCATAAAACAATAAAACTAATTAAAAAAGATAGGTACTTAAAAAAAATTCCAATTGAGGTTGCTGTTCTAAGATCCAATGGGAGAAAGCCCCCAAACAGAAAGCAGCCTCCCCAGTGTTCTTGTAATGCTCTCTAGGTACTTCCAAAAGTAATAATGTATCTCAACACTGATGCATATTGGGAAAACTGTTAGTTATAATGAAAGAGCAAATGCCTTTTTATACTAGTTCAACTGCAGTTTGGATATTGCACTTGTCCATATTGTGATTTTAATACATCTTGGATTAATTGTGCAGCCTCAGTAGATGTAACATGTCTTTCCTTCCCCTCCAGGTGGGTTTGAAGCCCAGCCGTTGGTCCGTGGGACTCCAGGCCGCAGCGTCAGCATGAGATCACCCACCAAACCCAAGGAGCCTCTGAGCAAAGTGCTGCCTCTGCGCTGGGCTTCTTTCGGCTCCAAGGATCGCATCAGACCCCCGGAAACGGCCAAGTCTGGAGAGCTGGTGGAGTATCTGGAGTCTGGGCGGCGGCCCCGCTGCACCAAAGACCCCATCGTAGCTCTGGTGGCGACCCCAACGCTGAAGAAGGCAAGAGGAGCGGACTGCAGCTCAACTAGCAACAGCAGTTTGAGTTTCTCAGAAAGACAAGGGTCCGATTCTCCTAAAGCCCCGGAGGGACAAAGCAGAACTCGGGACGATGCTATTCTGAAGCAAAAGTCATCGAAAAGACTAAGACAGGAGCACAGTAGGACCCTGGATCTAAAGAGAGAGGATCAAATCAGCCACAGTGCGCCCCCCAGCAGAGACTCTACGCTCAGAAGGACTACGGTGGCCTGCAGGGCTCAAAAAGACTTCCCTCAAAGTCAAACAGAGGACAGAAGGGACGGCCGGAGCCACGAGAGCCTCCTGTCCTTCTTCAAACCCGGATTCATGAAGAAAGACGTCCCCGTGTCACCACTTAAAGGCCGACTGAACGGACACCATGGGAAGCTGGCGAGCGGTAACTTATCCAAACTGTCCCTCTCCAACGGGACGCTGGTGCCCGAGGAGAGGAAGGCTAACGGAGCGGCGCATCATCATCAGTGTAAAGTAGGGAATGGGAAGGCTGGGAATCTGGAGCCGGTGGACATTCAGCGCGCTCACAGCTCCAGCAACATCCAGAGCAGGATGGATTTGACTTTCCACAGGTGTGCTTCCCTGCAGAGGAACGGAGACATCGTGGCAGCTCCGTCCCACAGAGTCCTGCTGACGGATAAACCCGGACACACCACTCTGCAGCGGACTCCACTCAGCACCTCCTCCCTGGGTAAGCATGGTTCAAGTTTCAAGGCTTTATTGTCATGTGCTCAGTAGCTACAGGTGTAGTGTGGCAATGAGAAACTGAAGTCACAGGCTCCTCCAACAGTGCTACATGAAAAAAAGGCAGAGTTGGAGAGGAGCCATCATCACCGGCGCCATCTTTTTTTTGCAAGCAACCACCTGGATGGTTAGATACAGAATCATTCAGAGTTCCTGTAAACAAAGACTTTAGGATTTTAACACCCAATGGGATTTTTCTATTGGATTCTGGCAGCAGTTCACACTCATTTTCTGAAGAACTGCATCAATATGATCCAGCAAAGTAAGACGCATGTGTAAATATAATACACTTTTTCTATGTTCTCAAGATGAATACGCCTATCCATAAATTAGCATCTCCCTGGTTCTCTTGACAAAAAGCCAATGGCACGCTTAAGGACTCATTGCTGAACCACTGAACTTAGCTCTAAGTGTAAAGCTAAGTCTGTTTTACTACAATATTATCATTAAGGGACATTTCACATTTTGAACAAATATCTGCCTTTTCTTAACGGGAATGTCTCTTTCCAGAAATCATGACTCAAGATAATGCAGTTTCATGTAGGAACTATTTAATATCTCTTCATTACCTGTCACACTGCCTCTCGTCCATGACTAGATGGACGCTTCCTACTGTGCAGGGATGCATTTGGTGGGTGTAGTTCGGTTTGAAGAAACTAGTTCCTACCGGCTGTATTTTTGTCTACTGCCACTCCTACTCCACTACAATTCAAAGGAATATTTTGCATTAAAAACATTTTTTTTTTAATTATTATAAATTAAAGGTGGGGTAGGTAATTTCGGAGAAACCAGCTCGAGATCGCTAGAATTTGAAAATGCACAGCCGGAAGAAATCTGCCACTTCCTTACAGAGCCCCTTCTCCAACACACACGTACGCGCACATGACCAATGAGGGCACGAGATAAGTTTGTGCACAGATGGAAGGCTGACAGGCAGGTAGGCCATCCAGTTATTTTAGCCGGACCGGCTCAGATGATTGGTCGTGCTTTTTACAGTACCACGGCTTCCACAGATGATATTTTTTTATGGATTTTTTGTCAAAGCACTTAAGATATTCATTGCTATCGGGATGTTAAGAGCATTCCATGGAATATAACAAAAAGTGTATCTCGAGCCGGTTTCTCAAACTTACCTACCCCACCTTTAAGTTGTCCAAGAGTTCATTCAAGATGGGTTTCTTTTAGATATTGGGAGAAATATAATTGACATTTTTAACCCTTAATAATTGCTCCTGTATGTTAAATAATTTAGCATTTAAAAAAAAAAAATGTGTTGCATTTTGTACTTTAACTTTCAATACTTCAGCCTCTTTTAATGAAATAACCATTTAAATGCAGGACTTTTACTTGTAACAAAGCTATGTTACCGTGTTGTATTAGTACTTTTACTCAAGTTAAATATACTTCTTCCACCTGGTTTCTACATCTTGAGTTAACAGGTCATATTTTCTATCAAAAGCTTTTATTTGAAGTCTTTTTTTGGCGCTTACGAACCATTTCATTCCATTAAACTGGAGAAAAGACGACTGCTGACACTGTGATTACTTCTCTGACTGTTTCCATGTGACTGATGGCTTTGTGTTTGTTTCTTTAAGTGCCTCTGTGACCGCCTGAGAGTCGGACTCCTTCCTGTTCCTGGAAACACTTCTCCTCCTATAGTACTGTTATAAGTTCTTACCTGTGTGTGTCTTAAACTAAATCTATGCAGTGTTGAATTTACTGAGGAGAAAAAACTGCTGTAATGTGATTTATTTAGCCCTTTTTTTGGTTTTACAAAGCAGTCTTCTGGTTTCATTTTGAGTTTATCTGAAAAGCAGAGTGTGGATTTGGTGAATTAGCATTTTTTGGCCCATTACCCTTTGTGCCACACGGGCTAAAACATGTATAATTGTGAAAAGCTACTAACGCCTGCACTGTAAATCTGCTGCTGAAGCCACACACATCATTGCTTTGTCATTTTCATCTTATGTCACCAATGCACTTCCTTTAATTCAATATTCTGCTACCTTAACGAAGCTTAAGGAACAATAACACAGCAGCAAAATTGGAAAAAGCACTTTCTTTTCTGTGTTTTATATATTAATTTATGAAAGAATTTATCTACAACTTGCAAACCAACAGATTTCTAACAAATGCACTTCTTTCAAAGAGGCACTATTCTGCTTTTTGGGGTTTCCCCTCTCCTGTAGTGTGTTGTATAAGAAAAATAAAGAGCTTTCTGAACATTAAAGCATAGAAACATGTCACAGTAAAGCCACACAAATATTAATATTAACCTGAAAAAGAGCAGTATAGCGCCCCTTTAATTAAATATCAAAATTCTACAACAAAACCAGAACTTACCAGATAAAAAATAAACAATTACACAGAAGCCAAAACATAAAAAAACACTTGATTTATAGAACAATGAATCTACAACTTGCAAACCAATACTTTACTATCCAATGCACTTCTTTTCATTGCAACTGGAGCTTAGCGGCTGATAAAGAAACTCTACAAATTGCCAACAAACAGATAACTAATCAGTGGGAGACGACATTAAATATGACATTAAACATTTTCTTTCGGTTGTTTTTCAGCGTGTTTTTCTCTGGATGAATGAAGAGTTTTGGCTTATCTCCAAACAGTAGGTAGGAAATGTTCGCACTGAGAAGAAACACATATTTGAACAGCCCCAGACGCTTACAGAGCAATAAAAGCAGGATTTGTTCATGGATTTGATCCTGATAAAATGCCAATATCAACAGACGCAGGTTCAGAAGTAAAGCTCAGTTTTCTCATATGGGATTTTGAGGATTCTCAGAACAGAAACACTATTATTATTTCTCCGCAGGCGTGATATGAATTCTTACGGTAATCCTGCTCGGTCACATTCACATTATCTGTAATAAAGTCATCACCACAGTTCCTGTTTTTGATGCATCCATCACGGGGGATTATGAGGGAATGTAAGATTGTTTGCCGACACTTGTTCACGCCTCATGTTGTGTCGTTTAATGTCACTGTTTAATTACCAAAATGCAATGCTAGTATATGAAGGATGTTGCTGAGGAAAATATGGCTAGATTTATATTTTATTATTAACTTTTTTAAAGGTTTTTGTACCTGATGTGTAATTATGTAATTTAAGATGTAAAAAAAATTTATGTTTCAGGTTACTGTATACATTATAATATGGTGGCCGACAACAAACCAAAACATTTCCATTATGAGAAACACGCTGCAGCTTCAGAAAGGATGCAAATATAGAAACACAAATGTTCCACATGAAGAAACCTCTTCAGCGACTTGACAACACGTTCAGCGTTTAGAGAACATTCAGCAACTTGAGGAGACCAGGGGACCCTAAAGAGTGACGCACACAGCTGGGAGACCAGGGGACACTAAAGAGTGACGCACACAGCTGGGAGACCAGGGGACACTAAAGAGTGATGCACACAGCTGGGAGACCAGGGGACACTAAGAAGTGACGCACACAGCTGGGAGACCAGGGGACACTAAAGAGTGACGCACACAGCTGGGAGACCGGGGGTGTTTCTCAATCGCGAGTACGCTTGCTTGGTAGCACATGTCTGCCGAGCATCTTGCTTCAGAAGCGAGTCAAGAATACTTCCTGACATTCGGAAAACAAAGAGTGGAACACGCTAGCAAGTGTGCAGGTGTGCGTCATATGAGAGGCCCCGCCTTACATCTTCCGCCACAGATTTGGGGAAATTGGTCCGTGCGCAAAGCATTGTGGGGATTTTAAGGCCGCGAAGTCTACTGATGTGCAGACTCGATATTTCTCCAAACGGAGTACGCCGGGCTCGGTAGATTTCCAAGTATACTGGAGATTGGAACAGTACTTCGGCGGCACTCGATGACGTAGTATGCTTGAAATAGTGGCTCGGAAGCAGCTTTACTCGCGATTGAGAAACACCCCATGAGACACTAAAGAGTGACGCACACAGCTGGGAGACCAGGGGACACTAAAGAGTGACGCACACAGCTGAGAGACCAGGGGACACTAAAGAGTGACGCACACAGCTGGGAGACCAGGGGACACTAAAGAGTGACGCACACAGCTGGGAGACCAGGGGACACTAAAGAGTGACGCACACAGCTGGAGACCAGGGGACACTAAAGAGTGACGCACACAGCTGGGAGACCAGGGGACACTAAAGAGTGACGCACACAGCTGGGAGACCAGGGGACACTAAGAACTGACGCACACAGCTGGGAGACCAGGGGACACTAAAGAGTGACGCACACAGCTGGGAGACCAGGGGACACTAAAAAGTGACGCACACAGCTGGAGACCAGGGGACACTAAAAAGTGACGCACACAGCTGGAGACCAGGGGACACTAAAAAGTGACGCACACAGCTGGAGACCAGGGGACACTAAAGAGTGACGCACACAGCTGGAGACCAGGGGACACTAAAGAGTGACGCACACAGCTGGGAGACCAGGGGACACTAAAAAGTGACGCACACAGCTGGAGACCAGGGGACACTGAAAAGTGATGCACACAGTTGGGAGACCAGGTGACACTAAAGAGTGACGCACACAGCTGGGAGACCAGGGGACACTAAAGAGTGACGCACACAGCTGGGAGACCACGTGACACTAAAGAGTGACGCACACAGCTGGGAGACCAGGGGACACTAAAGAGTGACGCACACAGCTGGGAGACTAGGGGACACTAAAGAGTGACGCACACAGCTGGGAGACCAGGGGACACTAAAGAGTGACGCACACTGCTGGGAGACCAGGGGACACTAAAAAGTGACGCACACTGTCACTTTTTAGTGTTTAGTAGTAGTAGTTTTAGTTAGTAAAGGCTGCGCATGTTTCCTCAAGTTGCTGAATGTTTCCTAAAAGCTGCATGTTCAAATTGCTGAAGATGTGTTTTCTGATGTTTTCACATTTGCATCGTTTCTGAACCTGAAGCGTGTTTCTCCTAACGTACTGTAAGTGTTTTTGACCGTTGTAAAGCATTTGCACCTGTCGGCCAACCTAAGTTACATACTATAAGTGAATTTGTCACAACACACAGAAGTCATAACTGACTGTAATATCTGCTTAATGTACTGCAAGTTTTTATGGATTGCAAATTAAACACAGCTTTTCTCACAATACAGTGTATCTGAGTGATTTGTGACCGCTGAGTTAGCCCGTGCATCCCATCAATCTTATCTCTTATCCACATCGTGCAGCAGAGGTACATTTTAAGTATTCAGGACAGGTGTGTGCGTCCTCTGGGTAAATTGGATTTTCTGCTAAAGTCAAGCAGCGTATCAGACAGAGTGTCAGCTCTGATGAGGGCTGGTCTGAGGCCAGAACACAGAGGCATTTGAATTCATCCATCTATTCATATTGAACTTTCAGAGAATCCCTGCTAATAAAGCTCATTATAACTTTAAAGGTCCTTCCACACCAAACTGACACCAAAGAACACCAAAGAACACGTCCCGACAGAACGTCGCCTCACGTCTCCTGCGTCTTGGCCATGTGTCGCACTGGAACACACCGCAAAGACTCCAGCCGACGGCCAAGTAGCACGTACGCACTGCGCATGCGTGAGTGGCAATAACTCTCCTTACCAGCAGGCGGCGGTAGTGTGTATTCGTCAGTCAAAAGAGGCAACAACCGGAAGACAGACTGCGTGATACACCGAGAGAAGAAGAACAGACTGCGTGATATAAACAAACAACAAATAGCGTGCGTTCCATTTTCACTCTACAACGAGAAGCTCATGGGGCTTTCCCGAACACGACGGTGCGGGACACACCAAGACACACCAATCTGAGTAGGGCGACACGACGCTCATCGACGGCCCAACATCTATCGACATCTATCGACGGCCGAAATCGGCTTGGTGTGTAAGGGACTTAATGTCACTACGTAAAAAGAAAACCTTCAAAATCATTGGAGCGCTAAATTGACTTGTAATAGTAAGATAGATGTCTGTCAGTCCTTCTTTACGCTCTGCAGGTTGCTCTTGCTCTGTGTAGTGGATTTAAAGTAAATTAGATCATATGTTGCGGGGAAGATGTTTTTAGGTTCGTCCTCCATCAGCTTCAACTCTCGGTGATTTATGGAGTGTCCTGATGTACAGAAACCTCTCACTGTTGCTGAAGTGCTGCTAGCAGTAGCTGCGCTTAGCGAGTTAGCTGTTAGCTTAGCGGTGCTGCCAGGATGTATGAAGAGAACTGGATTCAGCCATAGAGGCGGGCCCCGTTCATTCCTATCAAAGTTACTCCGTTACTAAAATACTTCCCTGGATCCTCAGCAGATCTTCTACATTCATTAAGACCATAGAGCATGCACACTTGTTTTCCTTAAAGGTCTCCTATCATGCAAAATGCACTTTTTTACGTGTTTTCTACATAAATATGTGTCCCCGGTCAGTGTGTCAGGAGACTCAAAAAGTGTCAGGAAATAAAACCCTCTCTCTTTTCCTCCGTACCCAAATCTCTAAAAACGTGGGAACAACGGACCTATCAGAAACGTTGCTATCAGAAACAATGCGTGACGTGTTTTGGAAGTAATATGGTCTGTGTTTACATCAGGTCTCATCTCAGTCAAATTAATGTAGAGGGAAATCCCTGGATATGGTTTTAAGCACATTTTATATACGTTTTCAGACGGTGATGACGATTTACCTCAGAGAAATATAAATCCTGATTCACAGACATCTCCTTACCAATGTGGGTCAATACGAAAACGTTTTTTTGGGCCCAATGGCATCACGTGACTGACAGGAAGTTGCATTACCATCGTTTTGCCTCTACGACAATTGACTACTGAGAGCTCAGAACCCTGGAGGAGTTTTGGTGTTTTCACTACGAGCACTTTGCACTTAATGGTTTTTAACTTGAAGAAGTTTTTTCTAGGGTGCGGCAGAGTTAGCTTAGCTTAGGTTACAGTTAAAAACATGGCGGCCCTGGTCTTGCATCGCTCATGGCTAGTTGAATACTATACGTTAGATTGAAGTATCATGTATCCCATTAGCTGGAAAAGTGATTTGGTAAGCTAGCCAGTTTACGAGCTAGATCCATTTCGAGAATTGAAGAGAGGCAAGATAAATAGGACCGCTTATAATCATCACAACCCTTGTATTGTCTCGCCAAAACCTTCTGTTATAGGAGACTGAGCATAAACAGGAAGTTATTTTACAATACGTGCAAACATTGCAACTGATTCATGTC